ACTATTACCAATAGAGATACTTTCTAAAAATTTAAAGTTTTTTATTAGACTATTAATGACGGAAGAGAGTAAGATTTTTTATTTTACCAAATTTTATTTTAGAGGCTATCATGGGGTAGTGGTGGAAGAAGAAACGGGTCCCTACATTTATTAATTAAAGCTAAATTAACGAAACTGTTATTGATGTAGATTGTGATTAAAAAAGAGAAGTTATTCTCTAAAATAAATGAATTTTTAAGGTGATTTTCAGCGATATTATATATATATGTTATTATAATATAAATGGCTACTATCAATATTATATTATTTATATAGATGTTATATTTGTACTATATATTATTTATATTTGTGCTATATTATATTACCTATCTCTCTCTCTCTCTCTCTCTCTATATATATATATATATATATAGTGGATATCTATATTATATATATAGTATATATATATATAATATAGATATAATATATATATCTATATTATAATATATATATAATTATATATAATATATATAATATATATATATATATATATATATATATTATATATATATATATATATATATATATATATATATATATATATATATATGTCCCTCCTGGGGCACACCCAGCCTCTATAAAGTGGGTACCCTTAATTAAATAATTAATTAAGGGGAAAAACCTGGCGGTTGAGCGTGATCTCGGTCAAATCACCACCTTGCACAACCGTTGACCTAGAAACAGTGCTTTCCCTAAATAGTAGTGAACCCCAGACCCTTCATGGGTTGTAGTGGTACAGGTTTTTATATATATATATATATATATATATATATATTATATTATATTATATAATATATATATATATAATAATAATAATAATATAAGAGGCTATTATCTCCTTAAAACTTATAGTTTTCTTTAATCATGCATTGTCTTCTTATTTGTAATTAAGTTGTATCTTCTTAGTCTCATCTAATTAAAATTATTTTAGTTCGTGATTTATTTTTATTTATTATCTTCCAACAATAATTTAGTGTCGATTTTCCTACGTTACCAATCTCTTCATTTGTTTTTATTTATTTTTTTATTGCATTTCTTTGTTGATTCATTTATAATAAATTTCATTTTTTTTTTTTTTACTCGTTTCGTATATACATTATAAAAATAAAGAATATTGGTAATCATTACCATTGGCTCACAATCATTCATTGTCAAAGAATTAAGAACTAAGCAGATGTTTACACACATCTTCTTGCAAAGTCATCATAAAATATATGTGCGTGTGTGTCAGTCTTTTCATTCACATCGACCAATCTGTTATTATCATTAGTGCTATTTTGACTAATTTTCAAATCCAGTTGATTTTTATATTTTTAAAAACGCCATTCAATTCTAAAGCAACACACAACTTTCACTTACCGCTCTACTTTGAATAGAAATTATTTTCAGGCAATGTTGGACAATTATAAAAATTTTGAAGTGAGTTCGAACGGAGCTAAAGCTTAAATCTTACATATAACTAATCATGAAGACCATTAAAAGAACAAAAACTCTATTATATAAACGGTAGGCAATAAAAATCTAGTTATTCCATCTGTTTTTTATAAACCTCATAACTTAAGTCTCTGAGCTACCTGCGCCTTTCTGTTGACAGGATGGCTAACTCCAATTTCAACATTTTTGATTAATGTCATTTTTGTGATATTTCTAGTCTGAAAAATTATATCTATTCAGACAGTGAGTAAGTAGATTCCAGAGTAGGTGATTCCAGTGTTGAAATATAAAACTGTGAATAAAGGTAGCAAGTCTCCCACTAGAAACATCACTAAAATTAATAATAAAGAATGTTGAAATCGGAGTTAGTCATTCTGTCATTCTGAAAGGCTCATATATGCCTAGAGAGATTTGAAGGTACATTTGAACATTTAACCGATAAATGATTATGGATTTTTGGACTATTTCTTAGTTAACTGTTATTTTCCATTGTAAAGTTTACTTAAATGAAATTACGAGATTTTCATTGCCTCTCATGGATAGGTCAAAAGTTGTCAAACTACTTCTAAGTGGATAATGTCAGGATTTCATAAAGGAAAAATTTATCGAATTATTCAGTAATTTAATTTTCTAAAAGGTTACTTAATAATTCTTCGGAATAAACGGCCGATAGATACCTCATCATTTAAATATAATATCAGAACTAGAGTTATTAAACTACAATACGTGTAATTTGTAAACATAGCCATGAAATAGTTTTACATTTAATTTCTTCTTTCACACAAGTACAATTAAATAGTATTTTAAACAATACCATTGCCTTATTTCACTAGCGGATCCAGGATTTAATTTTGGGAGGGACTTCATCCCAAAAGCTATAATAATAAGTTATTATTTAACTCTTAGTTCCTACTATTGTCATTATTCTAACTTCATTTTACGTTAATTTTGTTTTACCTACACTACTTATGTTTCTCATACCTTGTTATCTGGTCCTTTTCTTAGCCCTGATGAAGGCCTGAACTTCAGGTCGAAACGTCGGCATAGGTCAAAATAAATATTATCATTTATTTTTGCCTTCTTATTTGACTGATCACCCCAACTATTCTTCTCTTTATTATACGTATACCTTCTGACTATTATTTCCGGATATTCATTTTCGATCTGGATAAGCATTTTTCCTTTTTTCTTCAGTTTCCAATTATCATATTCTTTCAAATTTAGTATTTAGCCATTTTTATAGTTACTGTCTGGCAAAAAGGACTAATAGACCCACTTGCCGGACTAAGTCCCCCCATCAGTACCAGTACCAGTATAGTTACTGTCAATAAAAGAGAGGTAATTTTTAAATTAACCATATTAAAGATACTTTAGAGAAAGACGTATATGAACATTGTACATTTAAGCCCTGTAAAGTGACATCAATGGGGATAATACCTGATTGATATTAAAGTCCACTTAATTATACAATGATTCACCCAGTTTAATCAGAATCGTTAAAGCCGTTTTTGAGAAAATTGTTTTTAAAAAATTGTAGCGTTGATATAAACTGGCAGATCCGGTTAACCTATTTTAAGGAAAACGTTGTTGTCACATCTAAGGCATGTACCCATCTTAAATACGTAATATCAGTTTCGTACGACTTTTCGTTTTTGAGCTTGACTGTTCACATACACACAGACCATTTTGCGGGACTCTGTTATTTGGACTCAGGGACCTCAAAACGTGTTTTCCCTTAAAACTCAAATTCGGAAATTTTCACGATCGCAACACTTTCCCTTACTATTTATACACATATATAGGTAAGTGAAAGAAAAAAGACGCCTGTTTAGAATAAAGCTGCTAGCATAAATATTTTCTCACTTTAATCATAAATTGCTGTGTAGAGACAATAACTTATAACGTTTCACTGTTATATTTAACAATGTCTTCTTGAATTATTATTCTTTATTATTGAATGTTTCCATGAAAAACATTAAAATTTTTATTTTAAAAATGTATGCAGCCAGATTAAAATTAGTTAAAAATTTTTAAAATTTATTTTTTCCTGTGCTGGGGTTAAATTTGTTGTGGGAAGTGTTTCATAAAAATGTATGTGTTTTTATTTATTCACGCAAAAATACTGATTAAAATGAGCTACATCTACCACCAACGTGCTTTTCTTTCCATTCAAGTATAGATCTTTTTTGTATAATACAAGTACAGAAAGCAAAATTGCAACACTTGCGTGATTGGAAGAAACAAACTAATATTTTGTAATTTATTAAAATTTTAAAGTTGTTATTTTCTCTATTTTAATCATCATGTTTTTATTACACTCAAAAAGAATCATTCTTCGATTTATTTGTTACTAAGTATTTATATATTAGAACTAAATATTCTAGATAACTATGGGATGTAATATCCCTTCTTATGTAATATTCTTAAAAAACATTACTGTATTTGTTTTTGTTTTTTTAAAAGAAACTAAGTCAATTTTTGGTTTTGTCCTGAATTATAATTGATTTAGTATTTCACTTTATTGCATGCTTTTACATTGGATAGGAATGTGGCAGGTGATTTATCCATAATAAGATATTCGTAATAATGCATCTTCCCACCAAATATATTTCAATAACATTAAAATCCCAGCATCAGATGAAATTAGATGCTTGGGTTTTTATTTAGACAAAATACTAACATGGAGGATTCACATTAGACAAAAAACAAATGGTATTAAACAACCATACGGCCTTCTATCCAGATTACTTGGCAAACGTTCAAAACTGTCTTTAACTAACAAAGTAACTAGTATTGCCGTTTGTACGAGGATCCTCGTATTTGTACGAGGTTATGACGGATCGTACGAGGTACGAAGATCGACCAGCCTCGTACCTCGTACATTGTTTTTACTGACGTATCCAAAGTTATATTTTTATGAATGAAGTTTAGATTTGTTTTACAATTATTTTTATTGAGTTATTATTTATATTAATATGCAACACTTAACTTCCGTTGCTTCATAGACAAATAAGCTGCAATTATATCTACTTAAATTAGAGTATGATTATGATTTCCTTCATAAAACTGTGATTATATGTATCTTTTTTTTTTTATCTTTTAGAGAATAAAATTATTTTTTAAAAAAATGTTACCGTGATATTTAAAAAGATATTTTCGATTTTTATCGAAAAAAATAATATTTATTATTTTGAATTATATGTAACTTAGTTTCGAACTTTTATTAAGTCACAATAATGTGTTTATTTTCAATAATGATAAGAATATTGCATCCTTTAAAAAGTTTATTTTGCTATTTCTGTGTAGCTGTGAACAAAATATTCTTATTGAAAAGCAATTTGCTCATCGGAAATTTAATTTTATGATAAAATTATATTTTTGGTTAATAAATGAATCAAAAATTATTTATTGCACTATAAATGCTAAATTGTAATATTTAATATAGAATCGTTACAAGATTTTCTGTTAGCATTTAATTTGAAATATTAATAAAATAATACTATATAATTATGTGACACTATATCTACCTTTGATTCAGTATCGTACATTCTTAAACGTCTGATACCTTCACCTCTCTCTCCTGACAACTCTTCCTTAAGAATATAATTTCTTGTTTGCCAAACGCCTTCCTCTTGCAGAACTTGAATCTGCACTCTCTTGAGATCGCTGGCATGGTTTTCTCCCTCAGCTACAGCAGGTTGGGAATGCTCTATTTTAACTTTTGAGCCTAGTAGCTGTGCCCAGGTGTTCTCTGAATTGAAGTCTCCCTTTTCTCCTGATTAATTAAAAAAATAAAATTAAAATAAGAAGATTATACAGAAATACATTTTACATAATACAGAAAATTTTTTTGGTGATACCAGGTAATAAAATATTAAAACCATATCTGTGGGTTTTTGCCAATGCCCCCTAGGATATGAGAGAAATACTTTATTGAAAGTAATGCTGCCCTACATAGGGTTGCTTTATACACAGCATACTGATCAATGCACATGGACAGAGCTCTTACATTATATTTCTCCATTATTTTATATACATATTATTGTATAATATTTTTTTTCCCCTGTTCTTCCCTACCTCGCCTTTTAGGCTATACGGGATTTTCCCGGACCAGAGGGTGAGGGCGGGGAATTTAAAATCCCCTCTGGGACCGAGAAGCGAACTCGTGACTATTTTCATATCATAGAATCATATATCCGGTTGCCGGGCAACGGCGGTGCAGTGCACACCCGTTAGCCCATTCGTCCTCTGTATAATAATTTTAAACGTATGTTATTAATTTTTGCTTTTGCTTTGCACGGATGGTTTTTTTTTTGTACAAAAAAAAAAAATAAAATAAAAAAAAATTTTCTTCTCGAAATTTTTGCATAGGTTTTAGGTTTGCCCCTTCGAAATTTTGTTGACAATCACAAAAATTGTGATAACTTTAAAACGGCTCCACCAATCCACACTAAAATTATGGATTTAGGGTTCTATTTGTTACACGAAATAGTAAAAAAAAAAAACTATGTCCATAAACAAATTAGAACGAAAAATATTAAATAAAAATTATATAGAAGTTTTTTTAATTTTTCGCTTAAGACGAAATGAAACCCAAAACTTCTTGATGTGGTTTGGAAGAGCATTAATTCAGCTTTTCAACAGTTATACTAACGTTGAATTTGGAGAAAAGTTGTGAAAGCGTTAGTTGGCCAGAAAAACAATCCTCCAGGAAAGTCATGTACTAAAATTTGAAATTCTTGTTTTCGATAAAAATTTTTATTTGAGGGTTTTAATGAACACTAAAAACGAACAAAGCTGCGTTGGAGGTTCAAAGATTTTTAAAGATTCCTTCTTCAGAGAGAAAACATATTACTTTTCTCAATATCTTTTTATTTCCCAATGCAGTTGATGTATTTGCTGGTATTCCATTTTTGTTTAATTCTTTCATGTAAAAGACGCCACTCTCAAAGTATGGACCACTCTTCACGCTACCGATAAATGGGCAGGGTTTGTTTTGTAATTAAGTGAAGGTACGCAAGCCTGGTATGTCCTATTCTTAGTCGCGTAAAGACAACATCCTCTCCCTGGGAAGAGCTTCTTTTATTGTTATATCAGTATTTTCATTACCAACTATGCCTATATGACCGGGAGATCATAAAAAAAAAAAAGTAATATTGTAATGTTATTTAGCTGTTTTATGATTCCGTTAGCTGTTACAACCGTTGGTGAATTTTAGTAAGTGTTCTGGTAGATTGGTAATTGTTTTGTGGAAAAGTTTGCAGGTTCTATATTTCCTTTATTAAATTTGGAGAGCAGTAGATTTAATTTAGGTTGTATAAATGTCCAAGAGTATATATCATGGAAGCGCCTTTTGGTTTTTGTTAATTAAGATACTTAATATATCATTTAATACCCACATCATTATTTTTTTTCTTATTTTGCAGAAAAAAGAAAGAAATCGATTTTTATATAAAATAACCTAAAAATCCGTGCATAGCAAAGGCAAAAATTAATAACATAATTTTTTTTAATGAAATGAAATGAAAAAATGTTTTATTATTCTGGGACTGTTGTCCCTTAAGAACAGAATATAAATACAGATTGTATGTCTGTGTGGTTACAATTAAATTGTATATTTACAATGAAAGTTGACTTAGGATAAAAATACAGAAAAGAGAAAGAAAAGAACAAGTAAATTGTCATATATATGAGAAACTAAAATAACTTTAATAAATTGAGCTAGTCTCTGGTGGTGCTCAGATATTTCTTTTAGATATATTTCACAATCATTCGGATTGAGAAAGGAGTAGGTGCTTAAAGAGGAGAGGTTTAAAAGAGGAAACTGATTGAGCGTGTCGAATATCAGCTGGGATGGAATTCCTGAGGGAGGCGGCTTGTATTGCTAAGGATTTGTCAAACGCAGCAGTTCCGTGAGGAGGAGGATAGAGGTCGGAAGTACGAGATCTGGTGGGACGGCATTGGATGGAATATTTGAATTGTAAGCTGTAAATATGTAAAATATGTTTTATCTTAGCTCCTCGGGCGCATTGGCGAGAACTCTCAAGTATGGGTTTAATATTTTTTCGATCTAGTATCACCACAAAAAGTTTCATTGAAATCGCCATCAGACCCCCTTCTTGGTACCCCTGCAGGAATATTTAAAATTGGTTGTTTCCAATCATGAATGTTTTTTTTTTTAAATTTTAATGTAACTTGGTTACTTGGATTTAAACTTTCATTTCTAATAAGTAAGGAAGGTATGGTAATTAAGACATATTTCAGCTGTTTTTCACGACAGAAAAATATGTTTTAAAAAAAGGAGATTAATAAGTTACCAAAATCAAACAAGAAGATTCAAAATTTATTTTTTATTGTTTGGTTTGCTATGGAATCACCATATATTTTAAAAAGGGCTTCTCCTATAAATTTTATTCCTACAGAAACCTTGAATTATTGGTAATTATGTGCATAAGCAATGGAATTGTTGAGGGAGCTATACTGACTTTACTTGATAGAAGTTTTCTTTTATTCCAAAGCCCTTCTTATGGAGGAGGACTGATCTGCATAAGGAATAATCATTTCCGGATAAATTAATTACTCTCTGAATCTAGCGATACATTGAAGGATAATTATAATTTTTGCTACATATAAAATGAAATGAGAATTAACATTTAAAATAAATAATGCAAATATATTTATATAATTGGTAAATAGAATTTGCAAACAAATTAAATTAAATATTAGCTTTTTTCCTTTTCTTTTTTAATTCTTAAGATTTTAAACAAAATTCTATTTTGCCAGAAATTTATGCTTTTTTCATGCATTAAAGTCATAATTTTGTTTTATTAATGTGTTTTTTTAAATTGCATCCTCCTCGTTGTTGTTTTAGAAATATTGAGTGCCAACCCCTCAAAATATTTCCTCCTCTGATTGCTGAAACACTCACAGGATATTGCTAAATGTAGTGGATCCTTGACTTCGTCACATAACTAACAATTTGGTGATGCCTTTATTTTTATCAATTTTTTTTATTTCTTAATGATATTTACCACTGTATTAAAGAAATAGATTTAGTAAATTTGAACATATGGATATAATGATATGAAAACACTTGTTGAGAAACTACCCAATGGTAGTACTCTAATGATATTTCTACATTAGGAGATCACGGTGCCATCTTCTTTTCCGAAGCCTCGGAGGGTTATCAGGAATTAAAGAGAATGCAAGGTTAGAGAGGGTTGGGATGATTCTGAAGTTTATTATGGAAGGATAGGTGTCTGGATTGGGGCAAATCTGAAACATAGGAAACGATGGTTTTATTTGTAACAAAGTAGGGAGCCTTGAGGAATTGATGAAGGATTTTGGATTGCAAAGATTGGATATGAGAAGAATTCGATGGTTTAGTGGAGCTCCATAGTTCAACTCCGTTAGTCCAAATAGGTTTTATTTGTAACAAAGTAGGGAGCATTGAGGATTTTATGAAGGATTTTGGATTGTAAGGATTGGATACGAGGAATTTGATGGTTAAATGGAGCCCCATAGCTCAATTCTGTAAGTCCAAATAGGCCTTATTATAGTCATGTATATGAGTCTTTTGTAATTAATTGGAAGTTTAGAGTGTTTGTCTAGTAAGTGCTGAAGTAATCGGAAATGTCGAGCGGTTTCTTGTCGTTTCAGTCTGGTATGAGGATTCCAAGTTAGACGTTTGACCTGGTGGAGTCTTAGGTTTTTATTAAGTTAAAAAAATTATTTATATTGCCGTAATTGGTTCTCATCATAATTAAAGTTTTCACCCCACTTCTTTCCAAACATATTCTAATAAATATGAACAACGCTTTTAAAAATATTCTTAGAAGGATTAAATAGTGGTCTCTACATTTGCTTTGGGACTCATAGTCAGAGGTGCCCATTCCCTCCCAAGGTCGATGGGGCATGAGCCTTCCTTCACCCCTCCCTATTTTATTGTTCTCCTCTTCTTAAAAACAGTGCAAACAAAAGTAAAATTTTAAAATTCTTAGATTATATACAATTACACGTCCTACAGTCAATTGATTTAAAACTATTCATTATGAAAACTCATTACTCCATCGAAATGTGCCTCCCTCAAAAATTCAAAATCTCATCAAAATATGCCTCCCTTAAAAATTTTGATGGCGCAGCTTGCGCCATGACACCGCCTTCTGGGTATCCCTGCTCACAGTCATATAAATTAAATATTCTATCCTATTGTTAACAATATTTTACTTCTTTAATAGAAAATTTGACCAAATTTATTCATTTGTGGTCTCTTACATATTATTTATTTATTTCAGATTTTTATTGTATTACTGAAAGAAATAACATTTATTTCTTGGTTTGTTAAGTTTTACTTAATTTTTATTTATTTTCTTTAACTTGTAAAGTAATTATTAGTCTTCTTGGATGCTATATTTCTTCTCATTTTTATATTTTAAGTTGATAATAAATTAAATTTTGTTTCATTTATGTAACCATAGAATAAATGAAAATAGATATAAACAACTAACACTATTAAGTTTTGTTGCTTTATTTTACATCCCAATCATAGTTTGTTAAGGATATGTTATTATTATTATTTTTTATTTTATTACAAAAGTCGAAAATATTCTCAGAATGTAGAATATAATCATTAATCATTTGTTTACTTAAAAAATCTGTATCACAGTTCTTCGTGACGAATATAAATTTCAATTTTTCACAGTATAATAAGAATTCACTAATGAGTATTTCATGTTTATATTACATTAAATATAACTGCAGAAGAGACGACCATACGAGACTAGATACAAAGATATCTTTGAAGATTAGATATCAGATACTCATAACTGAACTCAAAATATGTGATAGGTTTGTCAATGGTCAGTTAGTTTGGATTAATGCCATTTTCCACATATATATATTTTATTTTATTTAATATCTTATATAATATAGTTTTTTATATTTGAACCCAGTTGAGTTGACGAAAAATTTGGATTATTCCTCAGTTTATTGCACCAGTCAAAGAGTAATTGATTTGTTCTATATTATTTAATTTAATGAATAATTATTATGTATTTTACACTTTCAAAAAAATGGAATAATCAATAATTGAATTATTCATAGTGAGCTGTTGTAATGTTATTAATTTATGAGATGTAAGGTTGACTTACCCATGCTTTGCTGGTGATGCTTCTCTGCCATATCTCTAACTGAATCTTATAGGCAGAGGGAACAAACAGTCAGTATACCTAATGATAGACAGCACAATTGTGGTTGTATAATGCATTATAAATTATTAGTTGTGTATTTAATGAATAATATTTCAAGATCTATTTAAGGTGATGACAATAAAACACTTATACAGCGATGATGGATCCACTTGTTAAATAATTGTTATCACTCTTTGGTAGAGAGAATATTTGACATATGTAAAAGAAGTAAAAAATGATTATATTATTACATATAATAATATTTTTTGAATACTATATATTTAATAATATATTATACATAATATATAATATAAATATATAATATATATTTTAATAATATATATATATATATATATATATATATATATATATATATATATATATAAAAGATTATATATATTTATTTAAATGTATAGTGACTGTCAAAACTATTGCATTGACATGTATGCTACATTATATTCAAAGAAAAAAAAAACAATACAATTATTTCCGTTATTACACCCAATAACAATTTAGTTGGGATTTAGAAGTTTTACATTGTCACGATTTTTTTACATTGTGTTATTATGGCATTCTCTTTCTTTATTGAAAATATTACCATAATAATGGGCTTTTATTGTAAGTTACTTAGGATTTAATTGGGTGCTAGTGGACTGTATATATGGCAAACTAAAAGAAATACAGTTTTAAATTAATGTTTGCTCTATTTCAATCTTGAGTAATAATATTTACAGTGTGTGGTGTGTGATCAACTATATTACAATATGGTTAATTCGTTGTGGGCCAATTTCGTTGTATTTTACTTTACTTGTGGTTTTGACTGGTTCTTCACGTTGTTCCTCTTCCATTCTTCCAAGTTCCCTTGTTGAACAATGTCAAAAATTTTCTCAGCCATCTTTGTGTTTCTTGGCTGACAAAAAAATCTATATTATCCAGGTCTCTGTTTTGGCCAGTTTGTCCTATTCTTGTCTTGGACCTTTCTTGGAAACTTACCCTCTAGCAGGTATTTTCTCATGCTTTCCTTGCTTGCCTCAAGAGAACAGCAGTGTTGTAGGCTTTCTTCAGTTCAAATAAAATTGAAAATTATTATGTTCCCTAAACACTATTGTAAGTTGATATCTGAACACCAAAGCCACACATTGCTCAAAAAATGTTGGAGATCAACCAAAAAAAAATTCCCAAAAGAAAGAGGAAATTATTGGTTCAACAAATTAGAATGGGTGGTATAGATACAGATGTTTAAGGACAATACAGACTTAGTACACACATGTGACTTAATTTCAGTGCTGAAACCGTTCGAAGAGCTCTCAGCTACATGTAGCAAGGGTAAATATAAAAAATCCACTTATAGAATAGAATAGAAAATAATTTTATTCCGAGGACAAAGTCCATTTAGAAAAACAAAAAAGTAGAAAAATTAAAATATTACGTCTGGCCTAAATAAAAACAAACACAGAAAATAAAAAGAAAGAGAAATAAGTAAAGAAAGCATTAGTTAAACATACTATATACAAAATAAAAAAAAATCTATATACAAATCACTTGAAACTATGCCAAGACACTTAAAACTATGTACAGTGGTAAAACATTAATATACACTTTTAGATGAAAAAAAAGAAAAGAAAAAATACATTTATTTATTTACTTTACAAAAGGTGGATGAAGGGGCGTTATATTTTTATAGCAAGTATAAAATTTAACTGAGATTTGGCCCAGATTTAAGGCCTGGAGTGCTTCTTATGGTCTCTTTCCCATCATTGTTGGTCATTTCTCTAGCTTCATTTGCGTTCCCTCTGTCCATTAGCCTTCTAGTTGCTAGTCTTGTACTTACGAACTTGAAATATATAAATAGGCTATTCCTATTTCATTTTTGTGTGCACTTCATGAAATTATGAAAACCAAACAAGGAAGGGATTATGAAACTGGTGTATTTTCTTAAAAAGTTGTTTTGATTTTCCCATCACTTGGAATATGAATCTTACATATTTCTTAATTACCCATTTCGAATATTAGTTGGTAGATATTCTATGTTTCTGTAAACCTATTTGCATTATCTTATCAGTACAACAGGTGAATAGGATTTACATTACCTTGCTGAGTTGTTTAACATTGCATTTAAAGCTATTAAGTTTAGAAATAACAACCAAATATATAGTTGTATTATTTAGATTATTATTATTATATGACGTTTTTAGTTTATTCTTTTTTTGGAAAATATTGTTGCAATTTCTTCATTTTCGGATTGATTATTCTTTTCTTCATATTCCTTCATCTATATTCAATATCTTTAAAATTAATTTGTAATAAATAAATATAGAAGGAGTAAGAATGTCTATGGATCTCAGGGCAGCATTGGCCAGTAATTAGCCACTTCTTGTGAATTGCATTTTAAACTACAATCTAGAACAAGTTACAATCTATATACAAACTACAATCTTTTTTAAAATGGTCAGATAGAAAAATAGATGTTGTGTGGGCCTTATGTAAGACTCTTATGATAATATAAAAACTGAATGATAAACTAAAATTATATCTTTATATACAAAAATAAATTATACAAATTAGAGAAATTCAACAATAATTAATGTAAATACCATTTTAAAATTATGAGATAGTAGCTACTTTGAAAACTTTGTACCGGGTAAACACTAGATACCAAAAATATATCCAAGTAAGCATGGTTCCAGATAATAATAGAACTACTACAAACTATAAAATTAGTTAATAGATTAAACTACATAACTTGTAGTTACTAGTTAATAATTATTTTTAAGGGAAAAAAAATGAAAAATGAATCTTTTCTCTAAAGAGTTAAATGTCCTGGATTTGTAAAGAGAGATCTGAGTTCCTCATTGAAAGGAGGATTTAAGAGCATTAATGGTATGGAATGAACAGTAATTTATGTTGGGAATAAACAGAGAATAATTATCTAAAAATCTAGAGTGATAATCATACAAACTAGAATTTTAATAGTTTTTATTATGAATATTTACAATGGTATAACATTTTAGTTATAAAGCTTCAAAATCAAACTGGGCAACATACTCCAAGAAACCTGAAAAACAAAATTATATAGATTGATTTTATATTATTTTAAAAATATATTTGCACATTTACTAAATTGTTTTTAAAATTCATCACCTTGGTTCAATATGGCATTTGTAAGGAAGATAATCTTGGAAGTCTTCAGCAAAAGAGTGTAATGAGCAGAATATAAAATGACGGCAAGGGTTTCCATTACTGCATCTTGATGTAGAAATGTCAGTCTATAAATATTTATAAAATTAAAACTATAGATCACTAACTGTTAATTATATGTATAGTTTAAAATAATTCATAGTATTTTATTAATAGTCATTTCTTATTAATTTATATTGTTCAGAACTTTTTACTGATTTTACTTTATATAACATCATACTTTATAGTATAGAAATTACAAACAAGCGATCAAAATAGTTAATACAATTCTGATTGTACATTTATTGAATTTTCCAGTTGCTTTTTTTTTTTGTTTTGTAAAAACAGAATGACTTTAGGCTAGTTCTCTAAAGCTAGCCCACATAAGATTAAGATGGATCCTATTTTTATATGTTCAAAAAAACAATTTTTTTTCAAATTACCTGAAATATTTGTAAATTCATTTAGTTCTAATTTATAACCAGAAATGATTAAAATAAATTTATAATTCTATTCACTTTAATAATTTATGGTGTCATAAAATTCTTATTTTTCATAAATTAAGGCCATTTGTACACCGATTTTCTATTACTTTTATGGTATATCCATATATGATGTAGAGTAGACCAAGATAAAAATTGACAATAAGGGCTTTCTTAGCAAGAGAAAAAGAATGGTAACTATTGATTTGACGAGAGATGATAAAATAATATTTGAAAATGACACAAGGGCTGCCCGAAACTTATAAGACAACATATTGTAAAAGCTATAATTGGTGTATAATTGGCTTTAATTTATGAAAAAAAAAATTAGTTTATTAAAATATTAAGAGGTTATTTAGTAAATTACCTCATTCAATGCGATGACATCATTTCTATCTACTTCAGGAGGAGGCTGGAGATAAAGACCATCATCAGATATTGTCTGGTTGAGCCATGTCACATTCGTATATGGAATAACAGAAGCATTATCTGCTAAAAATCATATACACAAATTATGATTGGTAAGTCAAAAGATAAAAAAAAAATACTTTAATTTGCGTTAATACCTGTTACACTTTGAGGCATTGTGGTGGTATAAAATTTTTGCTGAAAATATAACCTGGTTGGTACTCCTCCTGATATACTTGCTGGTGCCATTGGTGGAATGGGCATAGCAGCCATACCAGCGTAACCACCTGCACCTGTTGATCCATAAATTACATTGAGCCAGTAAGGCATATAATATTATCACAAAACATTTTTGATTGACTTTGTTTGAAAGCTATAAGAATAAAGTTATCAAACATAAACAAATTTTGTTATTTCATATTAATTTTCTAAAAAAAAAAAACACTTCAAATTTATAAGTAAAATTTTTTAGTATTGTTTAAGAGCTAAAAATATTTGAAAAATTAAAATATAGTCAGTTGATTCAATGTGGTAAATTGATTTCACAATGGAGTTATGACACGTCTATTTATTGTACAAATAATTTTACTAAGAGTCACTAATTTGACAAGCCACTATACTCTCCAAGTCCTGGTCAAGTAATTTAAATACGATTATTCATGAATTAGAGAGATTTAAATTTTATTTTATTCAAAAATGGGATTTAATAAATTCCATTTATATTCCTATGTTATTTATTACTGCCAAATTAGGTGCTGAAAGAAGACCGGAATGGGAACAATTTATGTTGATATTGATTCAAATTACATTGTTAAATAGATTTTGTATAATATATATTAAAGTACTTACCGAAACCAGATTGGTGATACATTGGTGCACCTATTGGAAATATATAATTTAATTATAACAGTAAGAAAGGACTAATATAAAAATGAATAATTAGCTATAGTTTTATAAAAAAATTCTCTTGATGAAATGAATGCTTTTCTATCTCTTTGCTCTAAATTCATACATTCTCAGTTTATTGCTAAAAACTACTAATTCACTTTTTTTTTTGTTAATTTCAGCCTTATTTATCGATACAAAATCACATTAATTGCATTAAAATGGCACAAAATCTTTTATATATAAATATAGCTATAATACATGCAGAATATTCTTACTTTATTATTTTTACATAATGCTACTTAATGACTTTTAGCAATTAACCAATGGATATATTCACATTCAGTTTAATTATAAAATATAATCAAGAAACTAACTGATCTGTCATAGTGCATTTTGATGAAGTAGTGATTTTTAAGTTAGAATGCTGCTTCAATTTATTACTGATATGAAAATTACAGGGTGAAATGTTGTAATAATAATAAATAAATAGTAATAATAAATCTTTAACCTTTTATATCTGTTTAATAAATGAGTTTGAGATATATGCTAATTTGAACTTTTTTGTTTATTTTGTGTTAGTGAACACGTACCTAAAATAGTGCCGTGCAATTACGAAACATCCTGTATTGGTAAGTGAAAGTAAAAACAGGTGTTTTGGACATGAAATAATTGTGCTTTTAGCAATTGATTTATTGTTTTATTTATTATTTTAATAATTTAACAAAAAAAAAGAGATAAATTAATATTTAAGGGAAAGTGAGTTGGGAAATGTGGTGAAAACTCATCACCAATCTTTATGAGTTATCCTTCTTCCTTCAACATTATTATAGAATCTTGACATAAGTAACCAATAAATATAAACATATATTATGTGTGTGACTTTTGACTGCATAGAATTTCTAGAAAATGGCTGCAATGGTGTTGAGGTGTTCAAAAATAATTAAAAAACAAGGCTTTATATAATAAGCATAGAGTATTTGAAACAGTTAATTGGTTTTGAAAATTAATTTAAAAAAGTATTTATTAATTGTAACCAACATATTGGATTACTTGATGAGTATTAACTTATTTATAAGTACATGACACTTCAAATAAAATGATGGAATGGAACAATACGAATATTTTAACTGAATGTTTTTGGACACAATTATTCAAAGACTTTCGCATTTATGATTTGAATTATACAAAAAAATTTTGAATACATTTTATATCACTGTAGCACTAATGGACCTATTAAAAAGATTATTTCTCTTAAGAGTATCATAAATGAGCAAAATACAGTCACAAGTCACAATTTTTAAAGCAATGTTAATAACTGAAGTAAATGTAAAAAATTTTGTAAAGAAAATTTGATTCTCATTTGTATAAATAGTAATAATAATAATAATAATTACCAGCCATCAACACTTGTGAAAATCCACCTCCTGCCAGTCCTACTCAAAAAAAAAAAAAAAAAAAAAGATATATATATATATATATATATATATATAAATAGCAAAGACAAAACAGGTCAGTTTTTCAATTGATTTTCTCTATTTGTTTAGTAGGTATTGAAGAGCTACTAACAGTTTTACTAATACTTCATACATTTTTTTTATGTAATCAATAAACAAAATTTTGGGAACAGTGTATATAAATAAAAATGTATTTGTTGGTTTGATCAAAATGGTTAATTTCTGAAAATTTATCGCTGATTACTCTGAAATTTTGATACGATATTGCAATCAAATTGAGGAATGTTTTTATATTAATTTTATTACAGTCGCCTTTCATTTCAAAATAGTGGCCGAAAAAAGTGATTCGCTATAGATTATAGCACCAAAACGGCTGTAATGCTTTTAATGAGACTAGGCTAATATATATATGTATATATAACATATTTCTCTCAAATTCAGAATTTTATTCATGAATAACTCAAAAAGTACAAACTTTTTGATTCATTAAATCAAAAATTATCGTGTCCAATAAGATATTTTTATTGCATTTTTCTTTTTTACATTTTTTTTTATTATAATTTTTAGGAAAGCTCTATTATAAAAAAATTATGTTTGACATATTGCTATAGTATAAATACTATGTTGAAATGAAACAGTTTGTAACAACCGAAGGAGCAAAGTGGGTTCAAATATTTTTTTAAGCAGGAACCAAGTTGAGATTTGTATTTTGCTCCTGGAAAACCACTCAAATATGAACTTTAATAGCAATAAAAAAATAAACAATTTTTTTCCTTAAATTTCCACCGAATGAGAAAAGAGGTTCAAATAGTTTTTTTGAAAAAAGAAACGATCGATTATAATTTTCATTTGCCAATTACTCAAAGAGTACTGCACTGTTTTCTTTGATAAGTAAATATAAAAGTGAATTTGTGAATATATAACAGTAGGAAAAAAATATTGGAAACATGGAAATTCATTTATGTTTTCCTCAAATATTCAATAATGGTTATGGTCAAATTTTGACCACTTGGCGAACTCTAGCATAATTAAAAAGGTATATAAAAAATACATTCATGTTTATCAGTAATTGCAGGTGTCTGAATTGCAAAAATAGTTTAATAAACTCCATGCATTGTTTTGCATGCTTTGTTAGTGGAATATTTCTAAATAAAGAGAGGTATTAATATTAAGATCAGGTACACTCCACATACTTTTTACTGTTTAGAGGTAAAATAGTGCATTGGTAATAGAAAAATCTCTGAAGATATAATTGGATCATTTGAATTATTTGGCTGTCGGAAATGCACAGCTAATAGATATCTCTAAATCTAATTTTAAAGAATTAATAAATTTTCTTAGTAAATATTAATCAAAGTAATAATAAAAATTTTTGAAAGTCTTCATCATTCATTTATTTATTAGTTTGCCAATTCATAATAATAATTATTATCTACATAATGAAGTTTCTTAATACAATTTAGGACTATTTTCCAAATTACAGTTTATTCAAAAAATTAATTTACTAAGTAAAATTAATGATTGAACATTGTTTTTATTGATGTGTTCTCTAAAAAACTCTACATCAATTTTTTTATATTATTATAGGCACACACACACACAAACACATTGACAGCCATCCAGAAAGCATGCAATTAAAAATTAATTATGAAGTATGGTTTTGAACTTTTCTCATCAAACATTGATTCACACTTATTCAGAAATGGAATTAATATTAAATTAATTAATTTATTCCTTTTTGTCATTGATAAGGAATAAATTAAAGAGAAAATCTGGTTCAAAAAATTAAAAATATGTGGTTTATTTCATTTTAAAAATAATTCTAATTTTTGCAGTGTACTAGTCTATATATATATATATATATATATATATATATATATATATATATATATATATATATATATATATATATATATATATATATCAGAAATAATATTAGATTCTGATAAAGATAGAAAAAAAAATGAGGATTTTATGTACATTAAAATATTATAAACAATGTACCAATTAACATCATTTGTTACTGACATATTAAGACAGAACCACCATGAAATCAGAAGCATTAACTACAAACTTACAAAACTTTGTATCAAACCGAGACAACACTGAACACATAAATTAATAAAACATATGACAATTCTTACTTGAAGACATATCACTCCTTGAATAAGAAGGAGAGTGATACATATTATAGGAACCGCCAACTACAGATGGTGAAATGATTGATTTTGGTCGATAATATCTATTCACACCTAAAATATTTAAAGAACTTTGTTTTTTTTATGTATGCATTTCTCCTATAAACTACTACTACTAATTTTCTTTGATCTTTGCCATAGAAAAAAAAGAAAAGAAAATTGTAATTATAAATGTTTAGCTTACTTCAATTTAAATTTATAGTATGATTTTTTCAGTGATTTTATATAGGTATCAGTAAGAACTACAAACTAAGGCGAGATTGATGAAGTAAAATATAGTAGGGCTTTGAAAAATATCTCCATATTCAAGAATTTTGAATATTGAAAAATATTCAAGTTTCATGGATAATTAAGTTAAATATATGTTTATATTTTTTTTTTCCAAAATGTTGAAATAATACTAAATGACATGTTATTGTTAGTTAATTGTCCAAAAACTTTTTTTTTGTATTGATTACTAATTTAGTTTCAATTTTTTCCAAGAAGTTTGATACACAACAAAGGTTTTACCAAAATTTTTAGTTGTTGGTTGAAAAAACCAAAGTAAAGCTTTGTTAACTTTGTGTTGAACTCAGTGCTCGGTGAAAGTGACCGGAGATACATCTGAGTTTTTCCATAGCCACAAGGGACTCAGACAAGGTTATTGTTTAATGTTGCATTGCAATGTGACATAAGAGAGTTGGAAATCCAAATAGGATGGACGATTTTCTACAAATTGCGCCAAATTCTTGCTTATGCTGATGGTTGAATGTCATAGGACACAGTTTTCAGTGTATGGAGAGTGCCTTCCTAAATTTTCAAAAAGAGCCTGTTAAATTTGGATTGCAGGTGAACGAGTCAAAAATAAAGTAAATGATCTGCAATCCTAAAAGAGGAGAATATCTAGGAGGGAAAGTAGAAGTCGGGGACTTCAACTTCGAATGTGTCGAGGAATTTATCTACATTTGGACACTGTTGAACTCCACTAATAATATGCTAACAAAGATTCAGAGATAGATAATGACAGCTGATAGATGCTATTATGGGCTACAGAGTCATCTAAAAAGTAAACATCTCTCTAGGACCACCATGATACGTATCTATAAGACCCTGATCAGGCCTATCCTCACATATTCATCAGACGGCTGAATGATGATGAAAGCACTAAAATCAGCTCTTTTAAGATTTGTAAGAAAGATTTTAAGAAGAATTATGGGGTCTATGTGTGTAAATGGTGTATGGAGATTGAGGAAAAATGCTAAGCTTATGAATCTCTATAATGACCTTGATATCATCCATTTAATAAATGCTTTAACAGGCTCGGCCATCACAATCTCGTATTCGCAATATCAAGAGAACATTTCTCTATCATACATGCTATTCATACCAATACAATAATCTACACTAATTTATATGAACTGACATTAAAACTTACCAATTCCACCATATCTTGGATATTGATTCTTACTATCTGCAACAAACAATAAAATAAAATAAGGAAAATTTCAGTAGTTTACATATAGTAGAATTAAATTAATTAATTTTTAACCTTGGAACTTCAAGCTTTGAATTTGAAAAAAAAAAAACTCTCTTTTTGATAAAACTACTTTAGATCAGTTTTGAAGGTGAAACTTACATTTCAGGCTCAATTAGGGACAGATTTTAAAAATGTATTAGCATTATGACTTGACATGCTGTAACATTTCAAACTAAATTTTCATAAAACTTCAGATTAGTCAACCAATCCTCGACTTCTATGGTCTGTGTAAAACTTTTTATCCTTCCTAACTTCTTCACATAGAACAAATATATTATCTTCCGGTTGAAATGATCATTCAATATTAACAAGTCAAAATTAGAGTGATAATTGATTATCACTGAAGAATGAATAAGAAAAAAGCTTACCTTGTTGATTATCATCCACCACAGAGGTTACATTTGGTTTTACCACGACCAGTGAAGTCAGTGGAGTAACAAACTTGTACTGTAATAAAATATTACCAATTGAAAAGATATATTTTATATAGATAAGAATATATTTTAGTAAATAAGTTGGTTGGAGCAATGATGAAAAACAGAAAATAGAAATTGTATTCATATATGTCATGGGTTAAATGAGGACTAATAATATTGGAATTTGATGTAGCAGATATAGATTTTTTTAATATTTATTTTTTATAGGGTCTGTTGCCATCTTATTCAGCCTGCCCTTCCGTTTCCTAATTTGGGCTGTAGTTTTCTAATTTGTTTATTATATCCAGTGCCGGGCTTATATATATATATATACAGGCGGAGCCTCGTGACCCAGACATTTGCCCCAGGGCCAGGGCACTGACTTGGAAGGGGATGCCTGCCACTTGTTAGGAATAAAAAAAGTTACAAAGCATATGAGAACAATTAATTTTGCTTCTTGCAAAGAAATTCACAGATTGCAAAATTCATTTAATTTTTATATTAAATATCAACTATCATATCATAATGAATATCGAGAATATTTGAGATAATGAGACTTCTTAGAGAAAAGGAACTCACCTGCTTTGAGAAGGTATATTGCATAGGCAGTGAAGGCTTTCTAAGATATACTGATATTGTAGCATTTCACAAGACAGGAGGGACAGCGCTGATATTGGATCCAACTGCCCACTTTGAGAGCAATAATCTTCATCAGGTGGGTGAAATGAAAAGGGAAAAGAAGAACCATGAGAGGCCTCTGGTTTGGGTCTCACGGAAGGATAACAAAAAGAACAAGGTGGTTTCTCGAAAAACTAGGTATTGGTGTTGGAAAACTTGCATTATTGGCCGAGAATATTATTCTGGACTCCGTGAAGACCATCCACTATCATTTAAATAGTAATTGAGGATGTCTTTTATTAATTATTTTTTCATTTATTTATTCAATTTAAAATTTTTTAGCTCCATCTTATCTTTTTATCTATATTCGTGGAATTATTTTAGTACATACGTGTGCGATGGGGCCGCGGTGGTCGAGTTAAGGCGCCTGCAAAAATACACTTAACGTGTAGAGGCTTTTTGTTTCAATTTTTATCGAAACCGAAAAGTCATAAGTTCAAATCCCGTTTCGCGGGAACAAAAAAAAAAGATAATTAATAATAAATATAAACATTAAAGAAATAAATAAACATTGCAAGCGCTTCCGGATTACTTCGACCACTACGGCGCCGGTTCGATTCCCGCATGGGCACAGTAGTGTTGCCACCCAGAGATTCACAGGTAGGTGAGCGACCCCTATGCCTTACACCATTGCTTATGGTCCTCCAAATTGGGGGTTGGGCACAGGGCTAATAACCCTATCCGGGAAAAAACAATTTATTACAAAACCTAAACTAAGCAATTACTAAGCCTCGGAAATCGGACCATGGTGAAGAAAGACCAATAAAGAACTGCTTACACAAACTGGTCAATCAATATCCCATGATATGAAGGCACAGAGGTTAAGACGGGCGGGATATTTAGCTAGTAGCAATCTATCTGGAAATCTCTATGTAACAAGGAATGCCTCAATAGAATGCAAAAGACCATGTGGAAGGCCAAAAAGCAGATGGATAGATAGAATCAACAAAGATGTAATAGAGCTGTGTGCAGATACAAGTAAATGGAAAGAAATAGACAGGAAGAGATGGAGAATGTTTGTAAAGGCCTCAAAAGATCTACATGGTCTGTAATGGCAACGGAAAAAAATGATATTACCAAAATATTTTTTTTGGAAATAAAATATTTGTTGTGCAACGTTAATAGCTTGGTATGATTTATTGGTGATACTTTATTGGACTAGTTTTATGAAACATGAGGAAAAAATATATATATGCAATAATAGAAAAATGTAATGTAATATTTATGTCCATATGGATTGATTAGTATGCTGTTTAAAAAGCAACCCTATATAGTAGGGCAGGCAGCATTACTTTCAATAAAGTATTTCTCTCTCTAGTTTTTTGTTAATAAATTTTCTATAGCAATGGGTAGCAAAATACAATTTATTAGATTTACCAAATGGATTGCAATGTATTGTTGTACATACCTTCAGGGCTAGTTCTTTTGCCTTTTCTTTTAAAGTAACATTTTCAGATACAGTGTTTTGATCAAGAAGAGACTTAATTGTTTTGTAGGCCCACATTTTTTCTAAATAACCTAAAATTGATGATAACAATTAATCAATATATATTTACATATATATATATATATATATATATATATATATATATATATATATATATATATATATATATATATATATATATAGAATAGAATAGAATAGAATAGAAAAATAATTTTATTCTGGGACGAAGTCCCTTCAGAATAACACAAAAGTACAGAAATTAAAATTTTAGATCTGGCCAGATAAAAACAAACATAACAAATTAAGATAATGATAGGTCATTAAAGAAAAGAAAAGAAAAAAAATATTGGTTATACATACTATATACAAAATAAAATATAAAAATCTATATAAAAAACTCTTGAAACCATACTAAGATACTTAAAACTATTTACGATGTTAAAACATAAATAAACCCTTTTAGAAAAAATAAAAAATACAGAAAAAATAAATGTATATTCTTCTTAACAGTAAAATCTGTTTCTGTTGAAACAGAAAAAAAAAAAAAAAGAGAAAAAGAAAGTCGAATCTATAATAAGTATTCAGGTCATGAGCTATATGTGAATATGGTCTTATATATAATGTGTAATTTTACATAAAAGATTAGCTGGTGCCTGACTGTTTTTGGGACAGGAATTGGAATAGGAGGGTTTTGAATGTAGATAAGGATGAAGAATGTCGAATTTTGATTGGAAGGGAATTCCAGAAACTAACAGAACGTGCAATAAAGGAGTTTTGGAATGAGGCAGATCTGTGAGAAGGAATGTAAAGGTCGGAAGGTCGAGATCTTGTGGAGAGGGAGTGGACTGAGGACTTGAATTGGAGAAGGTTGTAGGCGTAGGAAGGACGATGATTGTTGATGATATGATAGAGGAATGTACCTAGGAAATATTGTCTTCGAATGGAGGGGAAGAGCCACTCTAACTCAGTGTAATGGTGAGAGACATGGTAGTATCTCGGGGCACCAATTACAAATCTCACGCAACTGTTCATTATTCTTTTCAGTCTGTCGCGGAGCTCCACCGAGAGTCCATCATACACCACACAGCAGTAGTCAAAGTGGGGGAAGATGAGAGAGGAAACGAGGAGTCTGCGCTTATGTTGAGGTAGGAGATGGCGGAAGCAATGGAATAGTTTGAGGGTAGAGACTGTCCGTCGGGAGATGTGAGAAATATGGTGACTCCAGGAGAGGGTTTGATCAATAAATAGTCCTAAATTTTTTACAGAGGAGTAGAAGGAGATTGGCTGGTCACCAAGGTTTAGTATGGGAAAGTCCGTATAGGATCTAAGGAGGGGCTTGGAACCAATGACAATGGCCTGAGTTTTTGAAGCATTTAACCTTAATCCGTTTAATTTTGCCCAGGCACAGATTCGATCTAGGTCTGCTTGGATCTTAGTAAATGCTACCAATAGCTCAGGGGGAGAAAAGGATAGGTATATTTGAGAATCGTCTGCATAAAGGTGGTGGGAACAATGGAGAATTGAGTCATGGAGGTCATTGATATAGGAACTAAAAAGGAGAGGAGATATGCTAGATCCTTGGGCGACTCCAGAGGATAAAGGCAGGTAGGCAGATAGTGGTTGATTAGGAATGGAGACTGCTTGGGTGCGTTGTGATAGGAAAGATTGGAACCAAGAGATGGAGCTATTGGAGAAGGAGAGTGATTTTAGTTTGTTGAAAAGGATGGGATGGTTAATGGAATCAAAGGCTTTAGAGAAGTCAAGAAGTATAAGGACAGTTAGTTGTTTATTATCTATTGCAGTCTGAACATCATTAGTAATTTTGATTAAGGCGGATTGTGTGGAGTAGCCGGGACGGAAACCAGATTGGAGAGGATCGAGTTGGTTAGACTTTTCTAGGAAATTGGAAACTTGGGATTGCACCAATCTTTCTAGGGGTTTTGAGAGATTGGAAAGAATTGAGATTGGGCGAAAGTCTTCGGAAGAGGATGGATTAGGCTTTTTATTTAAAGGGAGTACAATGGCTTTTTTCCAAGAGGAAGGGAATATTGAGTTCTGTAGGGAGAAATTGTAAATGAAAAGGAGAACTGGGAGGATTTCGGGGAGACATAATTTTATCAATTTGACAGGAATGCCATCTGGTCCTATGGAATTGGTGTGGGATTTTTACTGCGGTTAGTAAGTCAGTCGGGGAAATGTAGGAGAAATAAAAGTCATCATCATTAAATGATGATTCAGGAGCATAGTTGGAAGAGGAGGGAAGAGAAGAGATAGAGGAGGCAGAAATAAAATGTGAATTTAAATCGTCAGGTGAAACAGAATATATATATACACACATATATTATATATAAAATAAAAATGGACAAATAATGCATTGTATGTAAGATTTTTTAATAGATTGCAGTATTGGGATCGGTCGCATTACAATTCTTTAAATGAAAAAAATAGGAATTCAAAGATTAGTTTTTGTGATAATAAACAATCCATTCTATATAATATAAAGAAATACCACTTGCTCATTTACCATTATATTTTAGTATGAAAAACATTCAAAATTAAAACATGATCTTTCATTATCCTCATCATCATCTGTGTTATATGTGTGTGTAATCCGATATTGAATCATTTTAATTTATTTATTGTTTGATTATAGGTTTTAAATACAGGCCTCTTTTAAAGGTATTCTGTTGTCAACAGAAAAAATATACATAATTATACATTTGTCAAAAACATTTTACCTATTTTAGTCTGATTTGGCTTGTGCTCTATTGGAGGCAAAAACAAATAGTCTATTGGCATTTGTATCATTCTCCTGCCTTCTGCTGTCATAGCCGAGAGGACTCCAGAAACTGTACTATTTGGTTTCACCTTTCCCAGAACAAGAATTTCTGAACCAGAAAATAAATTTTTTGTTTCAGCAGTAGTGCTTTCAACCTGAAAAATAGATATATTTTCCAAATGAAATAAAATATTTACTTGAACAATTCTGAAAACTATTATTCTGATTGGTTTTGCTACAAAATTTTGGTTTCTTTAGCAGAGAAAAAATAGTTTCCATTAACTAATGGATTTGTATTTACATTATGTAAAGAGGATTTTTCTACTTAAAAATAAAATTAAGTTAAAACCTACTCAAATACCACAACAAACTGTCTACTACATTTGTGAATAAGACAACAAACTGAAATTATTTTATTTACATTTTAAAATTCTACATGAATAGTGTGACACATTTTTACTTTCCAATGATAAACATTCAAAACTAAATTGTTATAGTTTTTAGCTTTATGATCTTACCTTTTCAGGAAGGTATTCAAATTTGACATCTGATAGAACCGGGGAAGCAACTTCTTTATAAAAGTTGTTGAGCTGCAAAGCTGCATCTGAACCTTCGTATATTCTCCTCGAGAATCCATTGTTTGCTAATGAGAGCTTTTTCAAAAAGTTGAGGTCAGCATCAAAACCAAAGCTAAGTGAAAATATAGTAACCCTATAGAATAAAAAAAAAAAGTTTACATTCATTGATTCAATTCAAAATTTTCAGTAATAGCATGAAAGATAATTGTAAGATGAGACTAATTAATCTCAAGATCTAGTTCTAGTTCTCTATATTTAAAACTGTACAACCACATACTTCTAACCATACTAACAGTTAAATAATGCAAATTAGATAAAATATTTATTCAAATAAATAAATTTTGCATGTTGTTTTAGAATTATTTGATCATGTTACAGAGATTTTTGAACCTATGTTGTAATTTTCGAATTCTTCAAGTTAAGATATTTTAGGTCCTGATTTATAAGATATTTATTTTTCTATCAGTAACCTTTCGGGGCACTTAATCTGACCCTCAATATACACAGGCATAATCAGTACTAATACAGTAGCATAATGTTTTTAGCTGTACTAGATGCAATATTGCTATTGTCAATGCAAAAGATTGTTTGTAAAAATTGAGTTGTTTTTTTTACAGAAGAGAAAATCGATTATTTCTTTATGATTTATGAGTATAATTTCATATTTTATTCCTTCCAGCTATTTTCCTACTTAGCTGACTGCTTATAGCAGTTGCAGACTACAAAATGTTACCTTTAGGGCAAAGAGAATAAACATGTAAAATTGTTACATACAACCTTTAGCACCAACATTAGCTATATTGCATCTAATACATCTAAAAACATTAGAGATATGCATAACTTATATTTAATTAATATAAATGATTGTAGTAGACAGCCCCCTGTATTTACTCCTTTATGTGACAGTGTGTGAGGGAATGAGAAGGAATATATAATATATAGGAATGTGAGGTTGCACTTTGAATTGTACTCAATTATGCAGTGGACAAATTGTTCTTTGAAAAATCTCATATCGATAAGCAATCGATGAAGAAGGAAAAAGGTCCAGTCAGGTAGCAGCAGCTGGCAGGACGCCGAGAAGAGCACTTGAGGTCTGGACACGAAGACGAGAAGACGTCATCTGGGAAGAGAGGCTTACTACATTGAAGACTAAGAACATCAAGCCTACAGTTATAAGACTTTTATATATTAATTTATTACAGTTGTTAAAATAAATTGTTTTATTATACAGGAGTGAAAAGTCATTTTATTTAGTTGTCCTATATGCCTCACAATTGAAGAATAACAAAACAGGTGAGTTAATTCATTCAAAGTGTTTTTACTAAGTCCCACATTTCAAATATATATTCTTATGGTTTCTTCTCACTCAATGTCACAAAAAGTATTAGATTCCCGAATTCTCAACGACAGTTAAACACCCTCAAAAAAGTCTATATCCAGTGCCGGGGATTTGTTTTAATATTCACGAGTGTAAATAATCTAGTTCCCCAATAAAAGCGGAAGGCTATTCGCCTATTCCCGCCAAAACAAATCATTTTAAATTAACTTTCAGTAGGTTATTTACATGATGCAATATCAAATATAAAATTTGGCAAATGATGATCTAATAAATAGACCTAATATTATAATTAATTGCTTTCTTACTTTTCTGTATTGCGTTTGCCAACATTATCAATGATTTTGTCAGGATCAGACTCTTCAGTATTAGGTTCTCCATCAGTCAAGAATATAATCATTGGTTCGACTGGATGAACATCATTCTTGAATTTCTGTTGACCTATTTTAGCTATGTCAATACCAACTCGCAATCCTCCATTAATATTGGTACCTGTTACAACAAACCATTAATAATGTAATTTTTTAAATTTGGTGTTGATTGGAATAAAACCAGTCATGCTAATAATTTTTTAAAAGATGATAGATCAATTAGGAAAAACAATAACTTTGTGTTTGTTTTTGTATTAAAATTGAATTCTGTTAGCATTCCTTTGTTTCAATTAGATCTGGAAGTGTGGATTATAAGGCCCTTACCTAACAGTGTGGAGATTGAAATTCCTTTAGTGGGTGCACTGTGTAATAAGTTTTAACTCACACAGTTCTGATTTGAACTGGTGCCACTATACTCAAGAATGTTAAAATGGGCAACGCTTTAACATGTTCAGTCATTGTGGCTTCTTGAACTAGTATAACTGGAAATTCCTAGAGAACCTACTTTGGAATGGCGTGGGTTTGATTCTCATCTGGGACAGTTAATACTTATTTCTTGGAAGACCCTAGAAATTAATCTTCACAATCTTAATCTGGTTAGTAGATGACAACGACCACCAAATTGCCATCTAGAGTTGGCAAAAAAGGGACTTATGCCAGTCTTGTTCACCCCATCAATACGAATATCAGTACCAGTGTAATTGTCCCAAAGAAGCTTTAGGGCTCTTCACATTCAAATTAAATATAGTTAAGATAGCACAGGCATCAGTGGATATAATGGATAGAAGGAAGTATTTTATGACCTAGAATTCTATGCTTATTTAGGTGTGATACATATTGCTATCCACTTGTATTATTATATTATTTTTAAACTTGTAATCAGCCATTTTTAATGAGTTTCCTTGATTTTGAAGTGCAAACTATATATTTAATCTGTTTAATATATACATTTTTCATTGAGTTTAGTTATTAATTTATTCTTAGTTGAAATTCATTATGTTTTAGGGTTATTGTTTTAACTTAATTTAGCCAAAGGACTCATATAGACTTGTTGTGGGAAGATTGAATTTTAATCAAAGCTAATCAATAATCTTATAAATTATCAATTTAAGTCAAATTGTTCCTAGGTAAATAGAAGAAAAACAAAGCTTAATACTTATATTTATATAAAATATTTACCTCCATATGTTCCGAGACTTTTAGTGAAATTAATAGCATTTTTTATATTGTCTTTATTAGCTGTTACAACATTTTCTTCTCCTGCGGAAAAACTCTTACGTTCCTCACCACGATAACCATAATAATAGTTTAATGCCCCCATGTCAGCACCATCTTCTTTCCAAGCCTATAAAATAAATGAAATATAGTCATACGAAATTAGTAAACATTACATTCATAATTAATTTTTTTCAATACTTACAGTAATGGCATCAGAAAACAAAACAATGCTAAAGCAATCTTTTTCAGATAGATCAGATAAAATCTTATCCATGGCCTGTTTCATTTGTTCCATTTTATGACCATACATTGACCCACTAACATCAAGAACAAATACAACATGTTTCTTCAATACTGGCAGAAGATCATTCCTAAGTATATGGATAAAATATCCATCTTCATCAATCTAAAATGATTAAATGCTCATTATCAATCCATAAAATGTTTCAATAAAATAATGAATTAAACCCCTTTTTCATAAAATACTCTGTAATCATATTAATTACCATAATTTGTTGGGTTTTGTTGGATGCATCAACATCATACTCTACTATCATTTGTCCATTCAAGCCTTCTGGTTTTAGTTCTTTTTGTTCTTTTTTTGAAGGATTCCATTCCACTCGAAATTTATTAGGAGAAATTTCTTCTTTCTTAGCATTTGTGTTTTCTATAATTTTATAAAAATAATATTTCAAAAGGCTGGTTGCCATAAAAACATTCTTTGTTTAATAATAATGTGTTACATAACTTTTTGTTTAAAAATGACTTTTTTTATTGAATATAAGAAGGAATGTATTTTATTTGTAAACACCCAATTATGAACTATTTATATTTATTTAATTAAATTTTCACTTGAATAAAAATATATTATGATAAATTATTTATATTTATTCCAAATCAAACTAAAAACTAACCTATGGTCCAAAAAAAAAAAAAAAAAAATTAGTAATAACAATAGCATAAATAGTAGTCCAAAAAATGCCATACCTCCATCGCTTTGGTCAATCTCATTTGACATTTTAAATTGTGGTACTTTAACATTTTTTATTGGCAAAACATCCTCAATATTAACAACAATTGAGAGATTTGGGACAATCTTGAACAAACATCCAAAATTACTTAACTGCATTTTAAACTGTAATATAGTAAAATAAATTCAATTATTACCTGATGAGGTTCAATATTAATTTCAGTTTTATAGGTACCATTCTTTCTAGTTAAAAGCTCCTCATAAGTAACATTAAAATCTGCTTTTTCTTCTGCTGCTACATTCACCGATACAGTGAAGTCTTTAGAAAAGCGGGAACTGCAATTTTAATAATTACAAAGATTATTAGAAAGATTTGGCGCTCTTCAACAAGAAACATCTTCTGAAGAAGAATATGTAGAGAAAATTTGAGGGCTGATAAATGAAAATGAAAATGTAGAGTGACCATAATTTTAATAGATTGAAGACATGATCCAAAGAGTTGTGAACTAAAATCAAACTGAAAATGATAGACCAACTTTTTATCCCCCAAACCATCTTTTAAAAATGAAATTAATACAGAGTGCCAACTCATACTTATTCATCAATTACTTAATCAATAACTTCAAATGTGGATATGATAGTGTTTTCATAAGTTATAAGAGTCAATAAAGAAATTTGGAATCCAAATAAAGTTAATTCAAATGATTTAAATTGAGATGTAAGGTATGATATGCCTGGTTTGTACCCTACCCCACTGGATTATTTTATAGAATTTTCTTCAAATAAGGAAGGAGACATAGTGGCACTGTCTTTTTTTCAATTTATCCTTAGAGAAGGTGATTAGAGGATCAGACATAAAGACAACTGGTACTGCATTTTCAAAATTGGTTCAACTGCTTGGATATGCTGGTTACTTCTATTTGATAAATAAGTCCTACGAATGACATAGAAAGCCTTTCTAGGTGCCTCATATTGTATAAAATTCATGTTCTCTGGAGATGGTGTAACACCACTCAATTAAATATTGACTGTTGGAAATAGTTAGTACCTTTCAGGTTCATAGAATTTAACTTACTCGGAGCATCAATAAAGCTGCAGAAATCAGCTTCAGAATTACAACAGCTAATAAATGGTGAAGTATTTGCCAAAATACCAAAATTGGCATGTACCAAAATACTGTGCCAAACATCGCCCTGTACATTTAATAAAACCTTTATAACACCAATCTTAATCTATACATCTTAGACCCACAGACTATCTATTTACTTCAAGAAAAAGGTTCTGCACAAATTTTTTATTCTGTAAAGCACGGAGAGTTACAAAGAAGCACTATTCTCTGGAATTAAACCAAGCAGACTAAGATGGGTATATAAATAAATATAACAATAAAGGTGGCAACCTTGCTTTTGCTTAAGAGTAATAATATATTAATATCCAAATTTAGGGGATAAGCATTAGTGCAATATATTAATACCAGCAAATTTTTCATAGAAGCTGTAAATTCACTGGCCTATGGAATATGAAAATTTCATTTCATTATGAATGATAAAATTATTCGTTTCGTTGATAGGTGAATTGGAAAAAGATTTAGTTTAATTTAAGATTTAATAAAAACACCTCAAATAAGATTTATAAAAAATTGAAATACTCTATAGTTTACTTTAAGTAGAACATTAAGATAAATTGTGTTTGTTAATGACGTGTTAATGAAAGGTTCATTTATATAATGTTATGGTATTGGCAAGCTAAAATTAGCATTAGCACTAACGGATCCAGGATTTAATTTTGGGGGGGGGCTTCAGTCCGAAAGATTTTTTTTTTGTATGTATATATTAGGATAACTACTTCGGAAGAAGGAAAGAAACTAACTACCTATATGAAATGGTGTTTAAATGATTCTTTAATTTCTATTAAATGTAATTAGACAAACAATAATACTTTTAGAGATAATTTTTTTCTTTAAACATGGTTATATTTTATCATTTTTTGGGAGAGGGGCTTGAGCCCGAAAGCCCCCCTCCCCTTCTCACCATAGATCGGCCTGTGGCGTGAAGGTGAATTTTAGATGATATTAAGAATTTGAACACTATTGGTTTTTTTTTTTTATTGAGTTAAGATTTTAAACAAAATTATATTTTGCCAGAATATTGTGTTTTAATAGTGGCAAGTGGGCAATGTTGGAGAGTAAGTTTTAATAAAAAATAAGGACTATCTAAAAACTTTTACTAACCTTGTTTGAAAAATATGTCCAGCACTTTGACCAGCACTAACGGCTGCATCATAATCCTTTTTAGCTTCCTCTTTTTCCTTAATGTAAGCTTCGTATGGCTCTCCTTTGATCACCCTATATGAACAAATATTGTAGTGTTAATAGTTAATAAAGGAAAGTATGGTATTTAATTCATTTTTTTAAAAAGTTTTTCTTTAAATAATAAGGAAGTGGAAAATATGGAGCTATTGCAGTATATTTTAGTTTCATATGTTTACAGATTATATCAATTACACATAATCCATGTTTTTTTTTCATAAACCCAATATCCTTTTGTTTTTGGTTATTACTGAAAGATCTATACCAGTCATAGATGGGCATAATTATAATCTACGATTACAATTACAGTAATCATAATTACTTTATTACGATTGCAGCAATCTTGATTATGTGATTACTGTGAACTGGTTACCGATTACTATTGTAATCAGGTAATCATGTCATATTTTGCTATATTGAGTCAAGTATAAAATTGGCATGGTCATTAAGTTTCATTTTCAGTTGTAATCATGTAATCATTGATTCCGATTTTGTCCATCTCTGATATCAGTCCAATAGTATGTCAAATATATATTTTATATATATTTTGCAGTTTTCATTCTTATGTATACCTCTGTTAGTGGTATAAGACCATTTAAATTAGGGTCTTTATCAATATACTTAATTTAATTTTTTTCTTGTGTAAGCTGAATCAGTTCAGTAGCTGGCACAAATCCATTACATTTATAAATAAAAAAAAATGGATTTAAAATTTGAACAAAAATATTACAAATTAGGACATTGTTGGAAGATTTCAAAACAAAGCTTCGATTCTGTCATATTATAATAAATAAGTTAGCAGTTAATGTTTTCCCAATGAAGTCATCATGAGGAATAAAAAACATGAGATCACTCATATACCTAGTCCTGTCATAAATATTGTTATAAGGAAATATACACCCGATTTAAACAGAAAAATTAATTTTTTTAAAAACTTTATTAGAAAATAAAATGTATATCTATAGAAAGTAAAAAAAAAAAGAAATTCCTTTTGCCTTGAAACAGACATTTAATCTCCAAGGCAAGTCATCAATAGCAGCACGCAGTATTTCTTGAGGAAAGCGCTCAACTGCTCGAACCAGAGATTGTTTGAGGCTTTCTAAGTTAGGCTGTGCTCTGTGGCATATCATCCTCTCCAGTTCGGAACCAAAGCAGATGATTTAGTGGGTTGAGATGAGGGCTTCCTGAGGGCCAGTCCTGGGTAGAGATGATCTCTGGAATGTTCTTTTGCAGCTACTTCTGAGTTGATCTGGCCTTTTGAGGTGGACTGGAATCCTGATGGAAAACCCAATGACTTCCAGCAAACAGAGTATCATTTAGAGGCTTGACAACAGGTTCCAAAATATCGTACTGATAGTTTTTAGCAGCTGTTTTAACTCCTTTTTCACAAAAACCTTTGTGGTGCCTTCAAAGAAAAATCCCCACCAAACCATCACTGAAGGGTCTTGACCTCTTTCCACTCTTCCAATGACTTCCTAGGCTTCTTTACAGCTGCGTACACACTATCATTTTGACAATTAAATTTTTCTTCAATTGTAAACATTTTCTCATTGTTAAACAAAATCTTTTGATAAAGACCATTGGTGTAACAGACTATCCACTCTACTTTCTTTCAGATTCGTGTTTAGCCTTTGTCCTGTCATTCTTTGAATGCACCCATCCTAAGGTCACTTTTTATTATGCGAGACATTGATCTGATAGATATTAGTATTAGTATGTCAAATGAATATATTTTGCAGTTTTGATTCTTATGAATACCTCTGTTAATGGTATAATACCATTTAAATTAGGTTCTTTATCAATATACTTAATTTAATTTTTTTCTTGTGTAAGCTCAGTTCAGTAGTTGGCACAAATCGATTACATTCATAAATAAGAAAAAAATGGATTTAAAATTTGAACAAAAATGTTACAAATTAGGATATTATTGGAAGATTTCAAAACAAAGCTTTGATTCTCTCATATGACAATTAATATCTTAGCAATGTTTTGCCAATTAAATCATCATGAGGACTGAAAAGCATGAGATCACTGCAATGCATTCAGGGAAAGTATGTCATACATCAACAGTCTGAAAAATAGTACTGTTGTAAATAATTATCTTAAAATAACAATTCTAACAAACTTAACAATAATTATAATTTAATAAAGTTCAACATTATTAACAATAACAGATCCACATAAATAAGTCTCATGTTAACTGTTTTGGAGTTATGTACTATGTCTATTTGACTACTATGTCTGTTAATATGAGATACCCTACTAGCACCTGTACCAGTACTTTATAATGAATCAATTAATCATATAAAAATTTCCCAGGAAATGGTTAAACTCCATAATTTGATATATGTTACCTATTTGACTGTAAGATAAAAAGGGAGAAAAAAAAATATAAAAATAAATCTTTACTACTCACATTACAAAACGAGTTACAAAGGCTTCTTGAGGTAGAGTAACTCTAAAATGAACCTCTTGAGAAATATTTGCTGGATTTAATATACGACTTGAGACCAATGTTGTGGCATATTTATATTTTATGTCGCAATTAACCTTCAGAGATTTTATTATTGGAGCTGGAACCTAAAATAAAAATAAAAATGAATGGTGGTTTTGGTTATTTTATATTTATATTTCATAGTTATAATGGATCTTTAGTAGATACATCAATTTTCTGTTGTTTACTTAAAACATCTAAAGTAAGAATGTTAACTTATATTGTTAAAATGAACTCCAATCCCTACTTACATCGCAAAGAACTGAGATGAGTGAAGTTCCAATTATGAGGAGACAGGCTATTAGGTTTATGGAGGTCATCTGAAAAATTTAAAATTGTATGTGCTAAATTTAAAATTATGAAAAGTCGCAGATATAAAAATGAATAGTTGAAGTGTTTGGTTCATGTTCTCTATTTATAAACTAAATGCTTTTTATAGATTTATTCTAGCGCCAAATAAAATTAAACTTCCGTAAGAGAATTCTTTAAGAGCGAGTTGCTTGTTAAAATGTGATAATCTATATAGTATGTCTTGCTTTTGTTATTTTTTTTTTTCAAATTACTATGGAGTAAAATTTGAATTAGTTTTTCATATGAAGTTTTTATGTAAAGTTTACATGTACTTGGATTACTCCACTATAAATGAATTATATTTACACATAGCAAACTGTATATTTTCTTCATTAAATTTTTATAAGCAGTACTTGAAATTATAGAGTTGTTATTAAAAGATTGTTTTAATACATTATAGGGTTGGTCAAAAAGATGTTTACAAACTAGCAATATAGACACTCCATTTTTATCACTTGGAAAAAATGTTTAGGCTCTTTCCCCGGAACATCTCGGAACTCTTTCCCGGACAGGAACATTGGCATAATCAATTATGTAAAGAGATTGCTACAAGAGAAAATGTAAGTCAGGTTTTGAATATATTAGTCCGTGGTACAGACCTCATTTATCAAATTATTAATATCCGCCTGAAACATTGTGAATAACTCCACTCATTAATATCTACAACTATTTTATTTACTAAAACTTTTGGATTGAGGAGTTTTTAATCTGGAGATTTATCACAATTAAAAATAAATAAAATATAAAAACTAAATATTCCAATTAAAAATTTTTTTAAACACATTTTTATAACAATCATGTTGGATAATATGTAAAAAGTGATGTGGTCAACAAATGATTAATTTAAGATAAGTACACTATTAATCGGAATTTTGGTTACTGAACTCCCAATGATAAAACTAACTTTGTTTTGTTTGAAAAATTATTTTTTTCTTTTCCAGATATGTGCTCTTCAATTAAAAGGAAAATAACACGAAATATTGCTTTTGTTAGAATAGTTCAACATTATATTTGAGGAAGGAGGTGTTGTAGATTAACTTCAGATCTCATTGTTAAAGGCTTCTTTTAGTTCTTCATTCCAAATATTCCTCAAGATTTTTTGCTACTGTTTCTTTGGTATATTTATTTATAAGATTTTGTTTGATTAACATATAACAGTGAAACTTCTGTCAGAACTGGACTTGACACAGCTTATCATTACAGATGCTTTGATGAGGGGCTCCAGCAAGGCCATAGCATTCCATTCCTTTTATTGTACTTCTGGGGTACCTAGGCTATTTTGGGCCTAGAGCAGGTTCATTTTCATACTTACCAAAAAAGTTGACAGAACTCAAAAGTGTGAACTTTTTAAATAGTTATATTATTGTCGAAGTTTTAATCAGTACAATAAATAAAAGTAATGTTTAGTACTTTTGAGCTTGAAAAACATTTGTATGGGTTTTTATAAATTTTGTATTTAACAACTCTTCAATATAGAAATATTGTTCTGCATTTGTATTTATTCAGTATGCCAAACTGCAAAGTAGAGTTCAAGGATAAAAAATCTACGATGTGTTAGAAATGGCTAAAGAACTGCAATGGCTATATTTATAAACTGCAGCGAAGATAACATAAAAAGTAAAGCTGTGTATAATTCGATCGGTTCCAGTTCGGTAAATACTCATCTTTGGGCACCAGAGATGTGCTATATTAATGAGCATAACGTAGCTCATCAAAAAATAATAATTACAGTTTCTATTATGTTTCGTATATAAATAGTGTATGACTAGTGGGAAGGCCAGTCGATCAGTAAATACGTACTTCAGGTATCAAGTTATAAAGACAATTCATTCACTAATAATAAATAAACATGGCGTTCTATTTATTGCAAACATACCTAGGATTTGTTTTTCTATTATCAACAAATTACATATTAATTTCATGGCTGTTTATTTTACATTAAAATTGCAAGGAGGTACCATAGTACTTATGGTCTCCCAAGTTCTTCATCCAGCACTGAAGTCGGACAAATAGATTTAAACATGATTTCATGTAGTTCATTATTTAAAAATCATTTAATATTTTGCTCACTAAAAGTAATATAAAAAATGTTTTAAATTTATTAAAACGAATGACATGACTAAGGACGCAGCTAAAAACAAAAAGATATGAATAAAACCATAGCTAAATTATGATTAATAAAAACAATAAAAAGTGACAAATACAATAGAAATGAGAAATGTTGTATTAAAAAACCTGGTCACTCCAAGTAACCACTGAACCGTTGGGACAAAGATGTCCAGACAGAACCTGATTAATGAGTAGTACTGAGCCGGGTAACAGATTTTACCGGCTACCGGGTTGTAAAGTCATTTAAACACCGTAATATTTTTACTGAAGAAATGGGTCAAAGCTAACTCAAATTGAGCCCCAATAATTTACTTTTGTGGTAAATTCATGATTACAAGCAGAGCCATTAAAGTTATTTCGTAAATAAAAGAAATATTGAAATTTTAATTTTATTTACATATATAATTCATTAATCGCCATAATGGCCAACGATAGACCACGCGTATTTCATTTCTAGTTTTTTTCTTTTATGCCCATATTCCACTAATTTTTTCTTCCTTCTCTCTCTTTCATGTATATATCTGGTAGGGCATGCATTACACAACTTCCATTTACCAATCAAATTAAATACTTAAATTTATTCTCGGGAAGGCAGTGGATCAGCTGATGAGAAGGTTGTCTCCTCAACTCCTCTCTCAGTTTTTACCAATTTTATAGCGGAATCTCTCTGATTATTCACGTGATACAGTTAAGTGTATATCAGAGCAGTTGATATTTACTGTTGGCATCTTTTTTTTTGTTATTTTAAGAAAAAAAAAAAAAAAAAAATTTTTTTTTTTTTTTTTTATTTATTTATTTATTTTTCTCTTATGATATGCGGTATGATCAGCAAGTGATGGCCAGTAAGGTGCCCAAGAGGTCTCGGTCAGACGGAGTTAGCTCACCAGCCAAACAAAGGACTCGTCGCTGCCTACGAGAAATACCTCCAGTGACCAAAATGAACACTTCAGAACCAGAACCTCAGCCCCAACCAGGTACGTCTGCACAAGAAACGATTGAAGAATCACCTTTCTTTACTCCAAACCCCTACCAAGTGCTTCAAAATGACAGAGAAGTAATGGAGTCTGCAGCAATACCCAGAGAACCAAAGCCTCCTCCGATATTTGTGAAAAATATAAAAAATTTCCAGATGTTCTGCACCCAACTAAATAAAATCTGCTCTGGCAGTTATTCATGTCTTAACAGGACCAATGACACCAAAATAACACCTGATTCTGCAGAAGCCTACCGAAAAATAGTGAAGTACTTATCAGAAACAAATGCGAATTTTCACACTTACCAGCTGAGGCAGGAAAGAGCTTTACGAGTAGTGATAAGAAATTTACATTCCTCAACCCCCACTGAAGTTATTAAAGAAGAACTAACGACGCTTGGTTTCAATGTACGCCAGGTAACAAACGTTTTGAAGGAGGACAGGGAGCAGCCAGGATTACGAAATAGGATCCCACTACCATTGTTTTTCGTGGACTTGGAGCCATCACCAGGTATCGAAAAAATATATGATATCACAAGAATATACTACACAATGGTGAAAGTTGAGAAGCCATATCCCAAGAGAGACATCGTGCAGTGCCATAATTGTCAGACCTATGGCCACACGAAGACATATTGCCACCATCTGCCGCGTTGCGTGAAGTGCGGTGAACAGCACAAATCTGTAGAGTGCACCAAACCTATACAAGATCCAGCAGTATGTGCCCTATGCTTGGAGGGACACCCGGCCAACTACAAAGGCTGCCAAATTTACAAGAATCTCAAAACCAGACACCAGAAAAACCGGATTCAAGATGAAGCACTAAGAACAAGAAGAGAGAGAGAGCCTTCCAGAATTGTAAACAATGATGTATCATTCTCCCAACTACTTAGAGGTAAGACTTTAACCGATAAATGTCAAGCCCTGCCACAACAACCTCAAACCCAACCTCAAAATCCTCTTCATCCTAATATACCTAACCACCAACAACAAATTCCTCATATTCCTCCTCCTTCAAATGCAACAGATCTCACAAGTTTGTTAGCATCTTTCCTCACCGATTTCAAATCCCTTGTTACTCCACTCATATCACTCCTCACGAATCTCGTATCTCACCTCATCCCTCCTTTGAAAAATCCTTAAATGACTCACATCCCTAAACCCATATCCATTCTCCTTTGGAATGCGAATGGTGTTAGAAATCATACAGACGAACTATCTACTTTACTACTTGACAAGAACATTGATGTGGCACTAATTACTGAAACTCGACTAACCACTAAACAGCACTTCAATATACCACAATACCTGACATATCGTACTGACCACCCTGACGGAAAAGCACATGCCGGTACTGCTGTAATTGTACACCAATCCCTCTCCCATCACGTACTCCCATTACCAATACATGATTTCCTACAGTCCACCGCTATCGTGATAAAAACCTTCTGCTTTCCGGTCACTCTTGCATCAGCGTATTGCCCTCCTAACCGATCCATATCCAATGCCCAATTCAGTTCTCTCCTCGACTCCTTAGGACATCACTTCATCTTGGGTGCAGACCTAAATGCCAAGCACCAACAATGGGGTTCCAGAACCACGAATTCTCGTGGCCGAACCCTGCTGTCTGCACTCAATTCCCAACGTTTTCACCTCCTTTCCCCCAACTCTCCTACCTACTGGCCCACAGATCCCAACCGTAATCCTGATCTTCTTGATTTCTTTATCCACAGCGGCTTAAGTCCCCTCAATTGTTCCATTAAACGTCTAAATGAACTTTCCTCTGACCATAGTCCTCTAATCCTTAATGTTTCACTTGAACCTGTTCCCAAACCTTCTCCACCGTCATTCATTAGGGGCCCAGTAAACTGGGACCTTTTCCGCAAA